GAAGACGGGACAAAGACACGCTGAGGAAAAGAGCAAAAAATAATAATAACTAATGATTAAATGCAGAGTGGGGTGTAAGCACATAGTGAATGAAACAGAGTTATTATATTTTTGTATTTTCTTATTAGCTTTTATTTCATTTTCTTTTTAATTTTTGTGTTTAATTCAGTTTAGTTTCAGTTAGTTCTCAAAGTGGGTTTTCTTTTTTTCAGTTTAATTTATTGTTTGGACAATAGGTTTAGTCTTTTTTCATTATTATTGTATTTATGGTAAGCAGTGACTCACGGTCTCACACACATAAATGTTTAGACTCATATTGAGTTTTAAATTTTAGTTTACTTTTAGTTAACTACAATAACCTTGGAGTGAAAAGAACAGTGAAAACTCAGTGCATCATGGGATTTAAAGTCGTAAAAGTGTAGCATCATACAAATAGAGACATTATTTCCCATGCGGGTTTCCAAGGAGAAAAAGGGGCTGATGTTAGTTGTGGGGGAAATAAACATTTTTACATTTTTACAACATTTTTTAAAAATGTTTTTAGGAGAAAAAAAGAATATTTTTTTCCTTAAAAAAAAATAAAATGAACTATTTTTAGACTGTTTTTAGTCTTTACGTCAGAGTTGTTCGCATCCAAGCTAGCATCAACATCTACAGTTATTGAGGCTAAATAGTGTAACAAGACACCAATCTGGAAGTTAACTTAAACTGAACTGAGTCCCCATATTTAAACAAAATAACAACAACAACAACAACAACAACAATGATAAACATGTTCGGTTGGTTTAACACAGCCGAGCCTGCCTGCTTCAGGAGGCTTCATTACAGACACAGCAGGTCCCTGGGTGACCTTTGTTCGCCTCGCTGTATGCAAACAGTCATAGCTGAGGTCCTGTCACGCAAATATATTCATTTCCATACGGACATAAAAGTAACCTACTCGAAGGTGAAGCTCTGTCCTGGGTTGCCCTCCAGTGGCGGAGTACCCAAAGTGCTAGAGGAACAACAGGGAGAGGGGTGGAGACAAAAAAAATCCAAGGGGAAGAAAATTCAAACGCTCTTCCTGGTAAAGAACCCGCCACAACTTCACCACATGACATCTCAGAAAGAAAATGCGACACTCCTTCTGCCGACACCAGCGAGCACCCCCCCCCCTCCCCCATTTCATTCAGCTGGCTCTTATCAGCCCCCCCTCTCCCGTACTAATGACCAAAACACATCCCAGTGACGCGCTGCATTAAACACCCACGGACACGCTCCGTGGTCTTTTTCCTTACATTTGCAAATGTGTTAACGGAAATCGGCACACGGCGATTGCGACATCGCCAACTCCAGACGTACCTTCCTGTAAACTCTGCCTTCCTTACCGTAGAAAACATGACATCACCAACTTTAGTTTGTATATGAAATTGAGTCTTTCTTTCTTTTTTTTTAACGCAGCTGTCTGCAACATAAAAAAGGGGAAAAAACGCAACAAATCAGCAACAACATCGAAACTTCTCCACCTTTATCACTGCAAACTTGGAGCGGTGCAGCCTATTGCTCTACAAGCAATTACATAATAGCATCAAATTGTGTCCTTATGGTTAAAAAAAGAAGGACACGTGAGGCTACTACAGCCTACAGACCTCACAGAAATTCCGCCTTTCTGCTGTGCAACATTTTCAGTTTGCTGGACTCGTTTTCTAGAAGCAGCTCGCATTTTTTTTTACAAGGTTAACGAAAGAGGACATTGTAGTTCAGGTTGTTTTCAATGGAGTCTCACCCCCCTACAATTAGGTATAAGGCCAGCATGCCTGACAGAGGCACGGAGAGCTTACCTTCTGTGTGTGATCCAAAACGTGCTGGGGAGGTGCCGCGCTGACTCTGGCTGTGAAAACAGTGGAAAATCTGCAAAGTAGCCCATCTCCTTCCACGGCCACGGGATGACGCAGACCTCTAAAAGCCCTCTCATCTCCCCCACTGACGAAAAATAAAATACTAAGCCTTTCCATTCAACGTCCGTAATAACGCGTTTAGGCGCAAATTATGACACGGGGAAGCACTGCGCACGCAGAGATCGCAGACCCCCCCTCCCCGCCCCCCTCCGGCACAGAAAATGTGGATGCGTTCGCCCATGGGCAAGGCATGACGAACACACTCATCAGTGATGTTGCATCTTCACAGTCATATCGCGTTTCTTTTTCCTTCATCTGAACGCCATCGGGTTAAGAAAAAAATCGCAAGCTGGTGAAGCTTTAAAAAAAAGGCTTCAAGGCCGGGGGGGGGTTTGCAATGGGGAACGGACTCCCCCCCGCCAACAATCATCCAGAAAGCGCTGCTGATATCCGTCTCATGGACAGCAACGGTGCGAGTGATCCGAGCAGGGAGTGCGTAAAGAAATTGCGCAGTTTTTATTCCATTGAAACGGAGACTCTTTCCCTTCTGTCCCCGCTGAAAGGCTCTTTCCCTTCCTCCTCCCTCCCTCCGCTCCCTTTCTCTCTCCTTCTCTCTCTTCCCTCATGCAGGTTTATTTTCAGTGGAAGAGTCTTGGACATTAACTGCCCCGCCTCCATAGTCACTGGCAAACACACTGTACAACTTGCCCAAATTCCATTATTAACTACTATTCGATCGCGAACAACCGAGCCGCAAGTTCCCGCCCCCCTCCTCTCCTCTCTCAGCTCTCAGCTGGGGGAAGAGTTGCTGGAACCGAATGGGGCCCAAAGAGCCACTCGTAGTTGTAATCTTGTCAGGTGCCTTACACTTCCCAAGAAACGGAAAAGTTGCGCGCAAGCATGCCGGGAAATCAAATTAGCGCAAGGCGAAGTCAAATAAAGCCAACTGAGATCGGGTTGGCTCTCAGGAGTTCTTGAGCTGTTGTCAGGGCTTCTCCAAACGCAGACAAGCAACAGTCTGTGTTCAAGAGCGAGACGTGTGATTAAACACTTCCCTTCCTTGTCGTCTAAAGAGTTCACAAAAAGGTGGATGCTGGATCCTGTTTTCACCCGCGCTGAATAAATGCTGCCAACATTTCTTCAAAGTGTTTTCAATTTAAGGGCATGGGCAGATGGAAAAGCTGTCTTCTTAATTAATACTCCCTTCCAAGAACATTGCCTCTAAAATCCACTGTGGTGATGCAGTGTCACCAAGATGAGCAATATAATCTGAATCCCTGTCTGCACAGTGAGGGTTAATTAGTACCACTTGTACAGTGTTTCTAAAACGACTCCCCAGCACACCAACATTCCAGTTTACTTCAGCTTAAGCTCTCATCCATAAAACAAAAACAAAAACCCACCTCCCAAGCCTGATATTTGTTACAATCAGGATGGAGAATCAGCCAATTTGAATTTGAATTCCATGTGCTCACCCCTCCATCTCCCACCCAACTAGAGACCACCAATGCGCGCGCACACACACACACACACACAGACCTAGGTCTGATAAAGAGGCTCCTAAACCTCGAGGAAGTCTGTGTTGGTCTTTGAGGGGGACAGTCCTTAATTCTGAATACAACCTTGAACTCAGCTTCCCCCCGCCCCCTCACTGGTTCCCCCTCTCTCATTACTGGAATCATTCTTCCTCCCAGCTTACTTTCTCCAGGGTCCCTTCTCTTGTTTTTCTCGCCCTCCCTTTCAGGAGTTTGGGCCGAGTCCTTTTCCAGTGGGGAAGTCCGGGGCTTCTCCCTCTCTCTCCCTCTCACAGCGCTGACTGACTCCAAACGTCTTGTCTGTGAAGCTTCATTAGAATTCATTTGTTTGAATGGGTTCATTTCTCCTTCACCCACTGGCCCCCCTCTCTTCCCCTTTTTTTTTTCCAAGCTCGGGAGACATGCATATTAGCATAAAAATGTCCTCTGCCTCACCTTGAGTAACTGCATTGTTTTCTTGCTTTTTATTTTTTACACCGTGGACACGTTTCTGCATACGTGCATGCAAAAACAAGACAAATTTAATTTCTTGCACATTTCTATCAACATTATTTTGGTTTAAAGGTTGTAAAACGAACGCAATTGGTTCATATTTTCATGACTGTTAGAGCACTAAGTGTGAAAAAGCCGAGAAGGAATATATTATGACCTCCTCATAAACACTGGAAATATGCAGTGGAAAATATGTGAAGCATTTAGTACTACATTCACATATACACAGCCCGCTTAAGCCAATAACACAAACCATTCTAATCTGCACTAACCATTAAAATAAATTTGCGGGGTATGTGGAGGAATGGGGTCAAATCTTCCACTTAATAACTGTTCAAACCTCCTTTAGCAGAAAAGACAAAGGAGGATCGGACCTGCACAATGTTCAGAACAAACTCTGAACCATTACTTTATTCAAGACTGCTTCAGCAGGGCCACATTGTCGTGGTGTCTGGTGTTTCACAGCCTCTATATTGTGATAAACATACTGTACAGTAAGACCTTCCAAACGTGGGGTCATCAGGTCACTTTGAGCTTCAGGTGGAGGATAGCCACTCTGGCCATGGCGGGGTAACAATAGCCCATTAGCCTTTTATGGCTGGGGGGTCAAAATTAGCAAAAAATTTTTGCTAATTTGGATATATAGCTGAATCCAAACAGCCACTATTCCTTCCAATCATGCTATTCTGCTCATGCACTTACAGACCAGACCTGTCTACTTTTTAAAAACGCATAAAATAGATGTAATAGCTCATCATGTTACCAAGGAATCCACTGAGCACACAGTCAAACGCTTACGTGACCCAACAGTCACTTGATCCAGATGTTACAAGAAGTAGGTTTCCAGTAAGCGCCGATACCTCACAGTCGGAGATTTCCTGTGCATGTGTATGTAGACGGTGGTGTGTTAATGTGTGTGTTTCAGCAGGGTAAGAGGGGGTCAGCATGGAAAGACTGATGGAGGTCTGTGGAGAGGAGTGCACAGTCGGTCATTTTAAGAGCAGAGAGAAGACAAAGGTAAAAAAAAGAAATAAGAGAAGGAGAGCTTCCAGAAATGTGTCTGACCTGCTTCAAAGAGTCAAAGAACGAGTCGAGCTCAGGTGTAAAATCCTACTTTATATAGAATTCACTTTACTGTAGAACTCACGTTTGAAATCATTTCAGCCACAAAAACAGATGATAAAAAAATTAAATAAGAACTACTACACAATGAATACCTGAACCTTGCACAGAAACAACGTTTTACAGTCAGTGTGTGCGTGATTGTTAAAGCCTTCAGTTGTCCAGGCTCATGAGAAGAGCAGTTCCTCTCTTGATCCAGTGCTCTGGAGTCACAGCTCCAGATTTAAGTTCAACGCCCACAACAAAAGACGCTCGGCCTGCCCCACCAGCACGCACCGGGTAGTAGTAACACGGACACAGGTACGTACCTTCACACAGAGACACACAACTGAGTCAGTGAAACCACAAAGCGGGACAGAGAACAAAAACAAGAACCCAAACTAAGCGATTTATGGATGAACATAATAACACAGGTGACAAAAAACCACATGAAAATAAATAAAGTGGAACATAAAAAAAAGTTTGTGAAACGAAGTGAGGAATTTCACTCACTCTTGGCCATCTTCTTGCGGTTTTCCACTGGTTTGAAGTGGATGGTGGGTATAGGACAGACCATCTGCATGGGTTTAGCTTCCACCAAACAGGAGTTGTTCTTGTCCCAACCCGCTCCCTCTAAATACAAACCTCTGACGAAGACTCCGTCCTGGAGGGGCCAAAGAGACAGGTATGGAAGGCCATGAGCAGGAAAACGTGGAAAGAACATGGATTATAAATAGGTAATGGGGAGGGGGAGTGATATAAACACTCGCTTGGAGGTGACTTCTTGCATTAAAGAAAACATGACTAACAGCTCTGCCAAGGAATTAGATAATGAAATGAGGAGAGGAAAGAAGAGGGAAGAGGAGAGCTGCAGAAAGAAAGATGGATGGCAAGAGGTGGTGGTGTTTGGGTGGCGGGGGTTACGGAGAAGCTAGAGTAGAGGCAGAGAAAGAAGAATAAGAATAAAACAAGGGTGGCTCAGAAAGGAGGTGAATGGGAAGCAGTAGGTCATGAGAGAGAGAACATGGGAACACAAGAGTGGTACAGAGAGGACAGGAAAAAGGAGGGTGTGAAGGAGGAGAACAGAAAGGGGAGGCGGGGGAGAAACCGGAGAAAAAAAATCATTTGGACAGAAGGAAAAAGAGTCAAAGCTAAAAAAAAAAATGAGGGAAAACATCAAGTTAAGAAATGATAGAAGTGCAGACTGGCACTGAAAAATCAAAGAGAGAGAGAAAAGAGATCAGGGATAGAAATTAAATAATTACAATGTAAGAAAATATGACCAATCAAAACATTTTACATGATCTATAAAAAAACCCAAACATCTAAACGTGAGTGTATTTGAGGGATGAAAATAGAGATGCTGCTTTGAATGAAAATAGACTGTTCTGGGAAAAACACAGCCAGTGTCTGAGTGAAGATGAAAGATGTGATGTAAAGCTGTAATGACAGCTGAAAGCTAATGGATCAGAAAAAGTAGCCCGGCGGCAGATTAGTGTCATTTTCTATACAATTTTAAGAAATACAATGTGTCTCACCTTTGGTGGGTAAAGGAGCTTGCTGTCATCTACAGTGGACACTATAAACTCCCAGGACAGCATGTCTACTGATATCTGCAGGGACACACAATAGAGTAGTTTTCATCAAATAAACACTGCGCAGCAAGCAAAGTAGGGTGTCTATATTATGTGTATTTTATGTGGTGTGAAATTTAATCTTCGCTGTTTAATCTTCAGTTTTGGAATCACGATTCACTGGGTTCAGCTCACAAAACCGTCTGTTAAAACAAGCTGAGACACTCAAAAATATATGGCCATCAATCACAAAGTGAGTGGGATTACATAACCGTCTCCTGTGCGCATGTGGTTGTGTGAATGCTCACGTTGCGTTGTCGAGCTGATGACTGCAGAACAGCAGTGAGGAAACCGTTGGGAAAGGTGAAACCGGACAGCCAGAACAAGTTGGGGGGCTGGGTCGTCTGTGCCCAGCGTGCAAACTGATCGACTCGCTGGCAAAGATCCCTGGTCCACGCTGCCAGGGGTTTCAGTGAGGGGTATGCCTAGAGGAGAGGGTGGGTGTGAGAGACGATGAGTGAGACGTGGAAAATCTACAACCATTTCATGCTTCCAGCTGTTGGCAGCTACTCAAAACAGGAACAAGTTCTGTTCAGTGCAGTCACACTGAGCACTGATGGCCTGTAGGTCTCATTAGCACACGAAACTGAACTGGTGAGTGAGAATTGAGAGGAAATGTACAAGGATGTCTCAGCATGCTGGCATCTTCAAATCTCAACAGGAAAACCTTTACTTGCTTTGACTGATTTGATAATACATAAAGACTCGCTGGGATCTAAAAATAACTGACCAAAGCATAAAAGTGATTGTGAGAATTGGTTTTATTATCGAATACATAAAAAGTAAGTAACAATGACCTGTTCTCATTTCCAACTCCACATATTTCTTATTAAACTCACCGGGACTCACTTTGCATGATTCACAATTCTAAATAATCACTGTTTCTCTTACACTGCAGCCCCTCGGTTCATCCTCCTTTAGACTGGCTGCCCCTCACAAAGCCACGGGTGGGTGGGCCTCCTGTGTTCACAGCTAGAGCTGTATGCCTGAAACGGCTCTATTATGGAACAGGAGCGCCACCTCCTCAGAAGTAGGAATTAGTGGTTGCATGGTGATTGGTTTGATTTTGATTTCTTTGCATTTGGCGACTGACTACAAGTAGTTGCAGCCACTAAATCCGAGATTTAACTCCAACCCACAGCGTTACTGGAGGCCAAGCTAATGCCATCCACGGTAAGCATCTGGCTAGACATTGTGTTTCTAAGATTTTCAGGGCCAAGTACAATAACCTCAGTTTAATTTGCATTTAGAAACAGAAAATTTGAGGTCATCCAGGTCTTTATGTCTTTAAGACATTCCTGCAGTTTAACTAATTGGTGTGTGTTATCTGGCTTCATGGACAGATAGAGCTGGGTGTCATCTGCATAGCAGTGAAAATTTATGCTATGTCTTCTAATGATACTGCCCAAGAGAAGCATGTATAGTGTAAACAGAATTGGTCCTAGCACTGAACCCTGAGGAACTCTATAATTAACCTCAGTGTGTGAAGAGGACTCTCCATTTACATGAACAAACTGGAGTCTATTAGATAGATATGATACAAACCACTGCAGTGCAGTACCTGTAATACCTACAGCATGTTCTAATCGCTCTAATAGGATATTATGGTCGACAGTATCGAATGCTGCACTGAGGTCTAGCAGGACAGGCACAGAGATGAGTCCACTGTCAGAGGCCATAAGAAGATCATTTGTAACCTTCACTAAAGCTGTTTCTGTGCTGTGATGAGCTCTGAAACCTGACTGAAACTCTTCCTGAAACCATTCCTCTGCAGATGATCTGTTAGCTGTTTGACAACTACTCTTTCAAGGATTTTTGATATGAAAGGAAAGTTTGGAGATTAGCCTATAATTAGCCAAGACTGCTGGGTCTAGAGATGCTTTTTGAGTAAAGGTTTAACTACAGCCAGCTTGGCATAGCTTGGCAAGGCCTGTGGTACATAGCCGATTATTAGAGATAGGTTGATCATATTTAAGATTGAAGCATTCATTAATTAATTAATTCAAATTTTATTTGTGAAGAAATTCATGAAGCTATTACTAGTTAATGTTGAAGGAATTGTTGGCTCAACAGAGCTCTGACTTCTTGTCAGCCTGGCTACAGAGCTGAAGAGAAACCTGGGATTGTTCTTATTTTCTTCAATCGGTGACGAGTAGTAAGATGTTCTAGCTTTACAGAGAGCTCTTTTTAATAGAGCATTAAATTGGCTTTCCAGGCTAAATAATGATTTTCTAAATTAGAGAGAGACACCATTTCCTCTTCAGCTTAAGAGTTATCTGCTTTAAGGTACACATTTGAGAGTTATACCAGTGAGTCACGTACTTAGAGGAGCTACATTATCTAGAGTTGTACACAGTGAAGAAGTAGAGATATTAACAAGATGATCAACATCAGTAGTGTTAAGCTGCTCTGCACCGTCTTGGCACAAGGCGTTGAGGAAGATAACAATGGATGAATTATATACTTAAACTTAGTTACAGCGCTTTCAGAAAGACATCTACTGTGATGAAATCCATTTGCCACTGCTGTGTAGTCGATTATTGTAACGTTATTGGGAAATCATTAGACAAAAGAGGGTTTTCAGAGTCTACATGGGTGTTAAAGTTACTCACCCACAATAATTATTTTATCTGAGCTGAGCTCTAAATCACATAAAAAGTCTGAGAATTCAGAAAGTCTGAGTAAGGCGGACGATAGATAACAACTGGTTTTCCAGTTTTCCAGCTAGGGTGGACAAGTCAGGCTTTCAAATGAATGTAAACTCTGCACAAGGCCTTTGGTTGATTACCAAGCTGGAGTGGACGATTTCTGCCACAAACCCCACCTGCGCTTCGATGATTCTAACAATTAGTATAACTCAGGGGCGTTGATTTCATCATACTGTAACCAATCAACAAAAACCAATCAATTTGTTGATTAATGATTAAACTACAAAAAATAAACTATAACAATAACAATAAAAAGAGCTATATCCATTTTTCTGCAATCAAACCTCAAGTGCAACCAAACCTGGTCACCATCTTTGAAGGAATCATTTTAAAGACATCATGGCCTTAATATTTGAAACTATGATTTTGTTTAATGTGAGCATCCACAATTTTATATACGACAGAAAATAAGGAAAAGCAGAACAGACGAACTGTTCCTGCATTAGTCATATCACTATTAGTCATATCCCCTCATATCTGTTTTTTTCAGTAGCTTATCAGTCATCTTATCTGCAGTAACATCAAACACAATGTGAAATACCAAACACAGCTTTACAAACAAAAATATCTGTATAATGAAAGGCGTGTCACGTATAAATTAATGCCTCAGATCCAAAGAATAAATGCTCGCGAACCACTTTTTCTGTCAGTCTACTCACTGATTTAAAAACCTTTTATTCAAAAGCAACAATTACAACAATGGGTTAGTGTGACAGACTCCGTCACAGTTCTCTATAATTTCAGAGAGTGAAAATAATCAAAACACGTGTGTTAGCTGTAACAGTAAAAAGATCTAGCTGGAAAATGGCTCGTGCCGAGTAACTTTCCAAAACAATAAATATCAGCATGACTTAGTAATTCTCCATTTCAGAGGAACTAGCTATTAAACCTTTCAGCATTGTCACTGACGTTAAAGCCGCCATATCTGCCAAGAAGGGCTGTCATAGAGTAAAAAGACCAAACAGATGCCTAGGTTGAAGATGGGTGTAATAATTTCACTGTACAATACCATCTTAGCAACACTGATAAGCATCAATCTTATTGATATATGTTTCCCGTTGGCCCTCACGTTCACAGACGAGCTAAATGCTTTCAAAATGTAGGCTTCATGTCTGGAAAGCCACCAAGCCTTTATTGACAATATACAATTTAATGATTAATTTAAGATGTCTCTTAGGCGCACACACATTCATTATATGGTCGTCGCACATACGCACACAAATACAGGCAAAGGCTTGTGAGGAAACCAGATACAAAATGGCCGGAGACAGAGAGGCAGGCAGGCCAAAATTAAAGCCATGAGTCTGAGAGCTCAGAACTAATGACAGGCTGCTATGCCAAGGAGGGGCGGAGAAGAGAGGGATGGAGGGACGGAGGGATAAATAAGCAGGACACTCTTTGAGGGGCTGTAGTTGCTGCCTGGATCAGATGAAGCGTGACGAGAAAGAAAGAGAGCAGAATGGAGGTAATACTTCCAACATATAAACAGGAATGAGATACAGACGATGAAGAATGGAGGTGGACAATGACTGAACTAGTGCACAAAATGAGAGCAGGAGGAAAAAGAGTAAGCCACAACTGAAGTGAAAAGACCAAGAGATGAATAAAAAGCCAGGAATGGGAAGAAATATAAGGAGAGTCGTCAGGTTTACAAGTGATCAGCAGAACAGAGGCGCTCAGCTGGAGGCAGCAACTCTAATAGCTATCCAATACTCCTATAAAAGGAAATAGATACACACACTCGCACAGACACATACGGTATATTGAGCTGTATTAAGCTCCTGGCTAGAGCACAATGAGCTCAGGGTCTTTTTAGGAAAGTGGAGCAGGCCTTGGAAGGTTTACTTTGCTTATTACACTACGATTAGTTCACAGACACTGGCTTTGTTTGGCTGCTGAAGCCCGAGGTATGCTCCACCTGACTAACAGCCTCTCACAAATACACCCATGAGTAAAAACACATACATGCATGCATACATGCTTTTCATCCACAGCTCTAAGTCAGACACTTGGATATAAACATGAACTGCCCTTACTGACCCTTGTCAGTGGACACACACAAACACACTCTAAACACACACACCGACACTCCCTTGTAGTCAGAAGCCTTTCCAGCCTCTTGACCTGGGCTGACAGCACCCTGTGTTCTCTCCCCACTGTAAAGAGTCCAGTGATAATGAAGCCAGAATGGAGCATTTGGACAGAATCACAGCTGGAATACAGCCAGAGCCACACTGTGTGTGTGTGTGTGTGTGTGTGTGTGTGTGTGGTGTGGACAGACCAGAACAATAAATGTATGTCTGCGTAGCCAGGCAGGGTGATGGATAAATACACATTTAATAACAGACCAGTGAGTGAGCACAGAGACAGGCATGCAGCTGTTTCAGTGGCTCAAAGCAGATTAGATCCGTGCTGATCGGATCACAATCACAGGGATCAATATGTGATATGAGTGCAGAGCAGACATCTGAAGGGCCTCTGTCAAGCAGCAACACACCAAAGGAATCTGTGGTAACTATCTCAGGGAGAGGAAGGCTTAAAATGCAGATTAAATCAGAATATGTAATGGAAAAATAAACACAGCGCTCTGTCAGTATTGAAATATTATCTGCGACCCTTATTCAGAAATGCTTGGTCAGTGCTTGATTATACAGTACAGCACGGCCAAACCAAAGAAAAGTTACATTTCTCTTCACAGTATGCCTTTAATCACGCATCCTGTTACTCCTTTTCAGTTTTACTTCAGTTCTGATTCAGCAAAATCTTCTTTGGCTTTTCATGTGCGCCCAATTTTCCAATAAGTAGCTTTCTCAGCACTATTGATCTTAGCAGTCCATCCTCGTTGTAGTCTGTCTGTCAACTTTATGAAGTAAGATAATCAGAAAGTACCACATGCAGTTTCACATCTGTCATGACTTAGAACGTGTGCTTCACACATAGGACGTGTGAGTGCATCGATTTATTTTTAAACAGTGAGAAGCGGCCTCATGCAGCTGAGAAAAGATAACCAGTGAATGCACAGTGGAGCATATTTGGGTTAATGTTTTTGTAACCTCAATGAACTTCTAGCCTAGAAGTCTAATCTCATAACAGGTCTTTGCATTTCTACAACCCCCAAAAAACGGACCCACAGTTGAAGAAAAGTGCATTTGATAATCTAGTGTTCTTGTTGAGCTAGCAGAGACATATACAGAAGAATACATCTGCATAAGGAGACTGACCCAAGAAGGATCAGTAAAGGATCATAACTATCCTGCACTGGTAGCTGTAATAAACTGTGTGCACGTGTGTGTTTGCACCTTCTCCCACAGCGATGGTACACGGGCATCATGGATACAGTTGAAGATCTCCTCCAAGCTGGGTGACATCACTACTAAGCCTTTGATCCCTTTCTCCAGTTCCACCAGAGATGATCTAAAACACAAACATACACAGTTACAGTAAAACTGTGTCAACTGTGACAAAATGTGTAAAACATTTGATTGATAGGTGTTTAGCAGTAACTAGCATTGAGCCTTTTGAAATTACTCTTCTTCTTGCACATAAGCACAAGAGCAGGATGGTGAAATCCAAACTGCGTCTAGGACAGAAACAACCGTGCTGTAATACTAACGCAGCTTCAGCTGGGAAAGCTGCAGTGACAGCATGCTAACACAAAGCTAGCCAAGAACCTAGACTGATGTTAAAGCTGAGCGCATGCTGAACCCAACTCAGCACGCAGAGCCTGAACTTTAGCAGGTAACAAAAGGAGTGATAAGAAGTCAGGCTTGCAGCGTTGTAGCATCCATTTCTATCTGTCTACAGTAGAATCACTTTAAGTTGTCTTTGGCTGGTTTTCAACTTTGCTTTGTGTTGTTGGCTTCGTGTTTATATGCAAACACTAAAAGAAAGATGCCCCTGAGTCCTCATTAGGATTTGTGCGGGTACATGTAACTGTCATCTAAGGTTTATTTTGTTAACTGGTAATTATTCTGTAAACTGATCTGAAACACATCGTCTCATTATGACAAAGCAATGTAATGAGTAACGTAATTAATTACTTTTTCTGGTGAGTAATCATGTAATGTACTTTATGTTACTTATAAGACAAGTAACGAGTAATGTGTAATACATGGCTTTTTTTGGAATAACGGCCCCAGCACTGCCTAAAACACATCTAGGATTATTAGCGCTCTGCGACAAGACCACACCATGTTATACTTAACTTATTCTATCAAGTGCACAACTTTCTGTTATTGATTTGTCTTTAACAACACTGGTAAATGGACTGATACCTATACAGCACTTTTGTACTCAACCACATTTATATTGCACTTCATTCTATGTGTTTTACTACTTCCCACTGCTTAACTGTTCCACATAGACTGACTCACACTGATGCATGCATCAGGAATTCAGGATTAGTACGCTTTAGCTCCTGAGCCACAACATTAAGTTAAAAATAGAAATAAATAGCATTGTTTTATAACTTAAAAAAATATGAATAGCTGACCCAGCCAAAAATAAATATGAATTTCTGCTTTTTTAATTTCTGTTATTGTCTTCAAACTGGTACAGAGGCTAATTGGAAGGAGTGAAAATCAAAAAAATCAAACACGTGAGAGAAAGCACTTTTGTTAGCAGGGTCTGAATTATTCAGTGAAAATAAAGTGCAATTATTCAGCTGTGAAACTGCACAATTTTAGCCTCAGATTTGTTTTTCTACCTGATGGCATATGACACCTACATTTAACTCATTTGAAACTGTAGATTTACACATCAAGGTACAATAAAACAGACACACACACACACACACACACACACACACACACAGAGTTCATACTTAATGGTGCTCAGCAGTGAGTTGTATCTCTGGATCTCTTGCAGCAAGACCACATTAAGAGGTGAAGGGTTGTCCAACAAGAGGGTTCTCGTGCCCTCGCATTCAATGTATTTTGGGATCTTTACACGAACATCTGTCAACAGCTCTAATACCTAGAAACACAAATAAAACAGATATAACAGGTTCATTCCCAATAGTAAAATACACACTCCAGGAGAACCAATATAAAAGTGGTGATAATGAGATTTTACCAATTAGACTGTTCACACTACTATAAAACTACAGCATTTAAAGCACAGAGACAAACTGCCAATACCTCCAAGAAGGATCCTAAGAGATAATGTGCCTTTAACTTGACTTTAAACAAAGCAGAAATAATAAACAGAGCTATATCTGAAAGCAAATCCATGCACGGGTGATTAGATATAATCAGATCCATCAACATTCAAAAGCAGCAGCTAAGTGGGACCAGCATGTGGGACTTGTGTTAGAAGCAATTTAAAGTTGTGATAAATGCTCTGATCTTGATCTTGCACCACAACAGCACTCTGCTAATAACTAACAGAACACAGTTTTTTTTTAAATTTAATTTATTAAAAACAACAAAACCCAAACAAACAGTATAATGTCCTAATAACACACAGTTTCAGTTTTACAGAATACAAACCTTCTGAGTCCTTTTCTTAAACTTCAGGGTGAAGCATAAGCCATAAAGCACAGATTCCCAGATCTGTATCTTATTACACTGATGACTGTTAGCCAGTGTTATGTAACTATGTGGATGTCTAAGCATTGCTGGGAAGAAATCTGTCAAATATGGCTGTCTGGAGTCACGCAGACAGCATTTTTCAAGCAATTACTAACCATTAACTGGAAAAAAGAACATTACATTTCCCACGTTCTACTACACATACTTTTAAAGAGAGATGATGCCATTCAGGCTATACGGCCCAGTACACTGATTAACTGTTAAGCCCAGCGTTAAAAAACAAAACAAAAACAAAACAACTTTATTCAATATGCACATTATTACATTTTGTAGTTTCATCCCTGTTCTCTCCTCCCAACTTGTTTCACCCTCACCTTATCTTCTCTACTACCCCCAGCAGCAGTCTTGCTGGTAACCTGGGGCTGCAGGGAGAGCAGGGTGTCAAACACTGTCTTAGTCTCAGCGATCTGGCTTGCAATGTCAGCATTAGAGTGCTGGCCAAATAGTTCTGGATGCTCTGTGGATGGCATCCTGTCGATATATTCCTTGTATAAAGCCTGGGAACCGTCACGGGGGATGTAATAGTTGGTTAAAGTTGATAACCTGACAGAGAAAAAGGGGTTAATAATTATATATATATTATATAAAATGCCCATCAGCATAATAACAGTGCAAAAAAAGACAACATCATCATAATACATATGATAAGATTAAGTGTTCTGTTGGGAGCAGCAACATGAAGTGGTAGTAATTTCCTGTGCTTCAGATTGCCTCAACACATTAGCAAACAATCGTTCTACAACTACTCCTGCGTGAATGGAGCACTGAAGGTTTGTATTCTAAGCCTCAAAGATTTCACTTGATATTTATCTAAGGGGAAATCTGAGTCTTTGGGTAGAAATGATAGAAACACACGATTTGTGAAGCCAGTAAATAAACAGAGTAAGAGATCTTGACAGCACTCGGTGTATCTGCTTTTCTTAAGAAGTGATGACCTTGCTGTCCTCTTGGTGGTGCTAGCACTCTGTGAGCAAAAAGGTGCTTCAGAAAGTCTCAGTTTGAAGCAACAGTTTGCATCAAATATGGGAAATGTTTAGGCATCGGTACTTCTGCAAAAGTGCTTTTGTTTACCAAAACATATTTAAATTATTAGCACAGTGCACTGGTTTGAAGCAGTTACTAGTATACTTGCATTAGCACACTGAATAATATCTTACTTGAAGAATGGCTGGTTTATGACAGCGTCACAGAAGTAGTCATTGATGTATGTGGTCAGAAGACGTCTGTCCCAGTCATCGGTGACGTGACCTCCATAGTTGACCCCAGCAATGAGGTACTTGAGTGCATCCCAGGGAATCTCCTCATAATCATTCAGGTACAGACTGAGCAGTTTCTCACTCACCTGGGAAGTATTAAGACAAAGAGCTTAACAGACTGGGTTTGAAATCTGACACAACACATCAAGGACAAGTGCAAAACTCTCTGGAGCAGAAAGAAAAAAGAAATGTTAATGAATCAGTCTCACACACCTGAACTAAGTTCTTGTGATTTGCATTTTGTTGTACTTTTGTTTACTACATTATTGTTCTCTGACACAGGAGAGCATTGTGTTGTTAGGAAAATAAAATCAACTACCTGCATACTTATTATTAATTACTCTAAATGGCTTTAATAAAGACAGCACATACATTTATCCTAATCAATCAATCTTTTTCTTTACATACAAAACCATGTGATCTTCCCTACATCAATCAGCAGATGTAAACACAAACATTATCACTGCACTAAACATTTGTTTTTCTGTCCTTTCCAATAGCTGTCACAGTTTTTTTCCTGTATCAAATGAATCTCTCACCTCAAAGTCAGAATCATTAAAGCCATACACAATGTTCCAGCCCATCTGTAGAAACTTCTTCCTTTCCAGAAGGATGCTGTGGAAAAAGCAGAGGGAGAAGAGGAGCTTCCTGTAGAACGCGGGTTTATTGCAGCTGTTGAATTGAGCTTCTGTCACCAGCTGGTAAAGACGCTTCATGTTGGCTTTAACACCCTGAGAATGAGAACGGGAAGTGTTAAGAGTTTAGAGTTTATAGTTTCAGTTACGTGTAGCGTGTATGTAGTGACAAGTAAAACTCACACCTACAAGAATGTATATATTGTATGACTGTAGTGACACAAAGCTGTGTCTGTGAGTGTGTACCTTCGGTGGTTCAGTGGTCATCTTGATGCCAGCCTGAAGGATGGTAATGGGAAAATCAGGGTGTGGTGAAGAACTGAGCCAGAGCCTGAAGTCTGGGTGGGGCTTCTGCAGCTGTAGCTGCTTAATCAGCTTGTCCAGCTCAGGCATCCATGACAGAGACAGGTGACAGTTGGCCAGGAACACCCAATGACCTGAAAGAGTCAGTTCAGTTTAGTTCTACGTGTAGATTCCTATTTGAGTAATCAGACACGGTGATTGTTAAAAAACAAACAAACAAACATAGCAACTGGTCTAGCACCGTTCTTAATGCCCTCCTCTATCATGCTCTTGGCAATGGGAGCCTGTCCCTGGCCCAGAGACAGAGCCTGGAAGTGGTTGCTCATCCCAGAAGCCTCAGCTAGCTGCAGCAGAGCGCCTGTAGGGTCCACCCCGGGAGACAGAACAAAGATCAGAGGAGTACAGCTAGTTGATTCCTCCACAACCTAGGGAGAAGACAAAGATGGCACATTCATCAAAAAAGCTGGAAGAGAGTGAGATGATTTTAAAAAAAAGGCAACTTACTTGACACCTAACAATAACTCTGCAATGAGATTTTTGGAGATTTTGACACTTCAAGCAAAAATTCAATTGCAACTAGAAAGATTATATTAACAAGAATCCAAACCTTTAATCATGATACTTGGAAAAATATCAGGAATTAGTTTAAAAAGACCTGAAACTCACTGATTTCATGTCGAGTACAGGTGGTTCCACAAAGCGAGAGCCGAGGTGTTTAATGATGAAGGAGGTAATGCAGAAAGAGACACGGTCGGGACGCATAGCACGCACTATCAGCATTTTCTGGAACTCATTACACTTACTCTCCCAATCACCTAAAGGGGGAAAAATGTAAATCTGTAATTATACAATTTATTAGGAGTGATGCATAAAGACAAGAAGAAAAACAAATAGTCAAGTAATTAAAACTGTTGCACAGCAGTAAGAAAAAGCTGACTTTCTTGCACATCAGTTCACCCGGCCTCTCAGGAGAGCACGCTCAGTCAGTTTGCTCACAGTGAGAAGACTTTCCTCCATAAGAACAAAAATGTACCCTCTATAGCACATTCAGACCTGGAAGTGGAGCATTCTCTGGCTCAGAGCTGGTGAACCAAACGTTCCAGTCTCGAGAGGATTGTTCAAAGGAGGACACGATGCCACGGAAGCCGGGCAGCTTATCCAACTGTGTGATGTTGTCCCAGCTGGAGTCTGCCAACCAGCTGGTAAATGGGTTATCCATCTGCCCCTTCTTATCAAGAACCTACAAGCATCAATCAGTCAATCATCAGTCAGTAGTCTAATTATCTCATCAATATAGGATATATAGCATATCGTTAGCTTCATAGCATAAGTGCCTAAGTCATTTTTTTGTGATGACATAGGCAGACGGACAGGATGATGCAGCAGTGGTAGGGGAGTAAAGTTAGGCAAAAATCTCAATTTGACCAAAAAATGACTTAGGCACTTATGCTATGAAGCTAACGATATACTAAACACACTCATACACCCTACAGGTCTTTTTGAGGGATATTAGCAAATCTACTGGTGAGGAAAGCTTTTACCATCAACAATGTGTCTGTTCTGTTTTTCTTACAATTCCACCTCGAAGCAAGAAGTTATACTGATCCATGTTGAGTTTTCCGGCCACCTCCAGAATTTTGGCACACATCTGGAAGCTGAAGAGCAGCTTGTGAGCCTCAAACAGACCACGACACGTGTACCTGCCCAACACAAAACCACGCGTTAGGAAGACTCACCAGGATACAGCAGCAGTAGCAAATGATGAAGTGTACGTTTCTGATTAATTATATCAAAATCTTACAGGTGTACAGATCTTTCCACAGCAAGTTCAGATACATATTACATGCCCAGTGTGCAGCATATCACTACATCAGCTCGCTCTTTTATCAAGTAGAACTGTTTATTTATGCATCGTATACATCATGTAACACACAGAAGCAGACGTGATTTCAAAACAATGCTTACTTGTACACTGCGTATGTGTGATAATCATTGAGGTTGGTGATCCTCTCCTCCAGCTTCTGGCTGCGCTTGCTCTTTTCTATGCTGAGGTTAAACAGGTTAATGTAGGCATCCAATGAGAACTGGTACATGGGGTCAATGCGGCCCATGTCACTTAGAATGAAGAAGAGAATAGAGGCTCGCTCAGCACATGGACGGTAGGCCTGTCAACACAAAAATATTAAAGACTTTTTATTATCATTTCCAAACAGCATGCAATAATAAAGAAATGCTACATTTACTGTAAGACCAAGCAAAGGAGGACAATCCCCTCTGCCGCTCTCCTGAGACCTGACCTCTCTTGCAGAGTCGATCTTGAGCTCGGTCTGTTCACTGCTTTCCAGCTGTTTTGAAACTTCAGTGGCTGTCACTTTGGATGCCTGCAGGGTGTTTACCAGCTGCACATCGTCCAGCAGCGAGCCAGTTGACTCATTCAGCAGTCTGGTAGAACAGACATAAACATACAACAACAAAAATAAAACAACCCCCCAGCCCAAATACAAAAACCTGCTCTCATTCATGGGTAGAAAACCATCTCATTCCTTGGAAAGAATTTCCTTTCGAGCTTTCGAGAACTGCATGGCTGAAAACATGAGTGATCACCATAACAAGGTGATATGCACAACTTGTGATCTTTAAGATATTAATATATATATATACTGTATACAGATATTTAATGCTGGGTAGGGTCTTAATCAGTTGCTCTTTCTCAAAGTACTTTTTGCCTGAAGTACTAATAAGAGAATAATGGAAGTTGACACTTTTTCCGTTCCTTTATATAATCCCTGGTTCTTATGGAGGTACAGTAGGCATGGCTACTTTAACAAACATGTTATAATTACTATTACTGGTACAGCTGGTGGTAATAAAAGACTGGATCTAAACTGAACATTGTCCATTATGTGAGGAAAATATTGATGAAGAAGGACAAAGGTCAATGTTTGAAACCTGAGAATCTCATCCTCCAGGTCCTGCAGGCTCTTCTTGCCAGAGGCAATGCTAATCACCAAAGAGTCTTTCTGCTCTTCCAGCTCTGGACGCTCTTTACGCACCACAATTCCCAGCAGTTGGGCTTCTAAACCCTGTGTGCATGCATGCAAAATACACAAAAATCCCAGTGACAGGTAAATTAAGACGACATCTAATACCTGAAACTGCATATAGACAAAAATTTGGGAGTTATATGGAGTTATTAAGTAGCCAGAACATACAGAGGACACATATGGTTTCACAGACATGCATGCTCACCTGCTCCTTAACAGCAAAGTTTACTATAGTGGTCATTGCAGAAATCTCTGGGGTGTAGTGGGGGTTAGACAGCTTGGTGGTGATATAGAAGCGGAACTCAGCACTGTACTCCACCTCCTTATCACCCAGCTTCAACAGCAACCTGCCACCTGCAAACACGTAGACGCATAAACATAATGAATTCATATCCATCCATCTATCCAGTGTCCTCCACCTGTCCTAGAGGCACACTCACATTCATTTAGAATGATAAATGAACGGTCTTTAGACTATGGGTGGAAGTACCCTTGCAGACACAGGGAGAACATGCAACTCCAGACAGAAAAGTCTCCACCTGGATTTGAAACCACTCAAACAGGTAAAAATTTATTTCACCAGCTGCTATTTTAAAGTGTGACTTTGCCTATGTGTGCGTGTGCATGCATTTGCATCACACCTATACATGTCAGGGACTTGTTGAGAATTGGGTTGAGAGAGGGGTCCAATTCCTCCTGGACATTCTGCAGCAAAACAGGATTCCCAAACTGGATGGCATTCTCCAGCACCCGCAGGTAGTCTGGCATTTGAAAATCGATTACTTTGAGACCCTGCGAGTTTGGCAGATAAGAGACAACAACAACAACACAGCCTGTCAAACACAAAAACATACCAACAGCCTCAGAAATAATTCCTCATTCATAATCGTTAAAAATGTATTTCTTTATATTTATAAACTCATCTGAGTTGAGATTTTTAAATGTCAGTGAAGTTCATCTTATTTGCTTTGTAAAAAGTACTGGCAGGCAGTCTTCATAGGTTCAGTAATTACTTGAGGGGGATCATGAGTATGTTGGTGCAGTGAATTTGAGATGAGTTGTGATAGTCTCAGAAAAGTAAAAGGTCAGCTCAAATAAGGGAAATGCATTGCTACCAGGCACGGCAATAAAAAAGAAAGAAGAGAGAGGACAGTTAGAGTTAATGAAAATGTATCTACTAAACCTTTATGGGCAGTCAAACAAAGTTTAGTAATGTATTTTGAGTTATATTTGAGGATGTAATGTTCCCACCCAGCACTTGGTGGGATAGAAAGAACCCAGTTCTTACCCTTGATAGCTCCATCTTTTTAATCCACTTCAAAGCTTGGCCTTGAGGGTCCACCATCAGTGGCCATCTTGACAAAAAGAGCAGAGAAAGATATAAGAAGTTGTATTTACACCGTCACACATGGTTTGTAAAATGTAAAACATACATGCACAACTCTAAATCCAGAAAAAAAACAAATAAAATGAGATTCCCCAAAACTAATAATAATAAAACTTATAATAAGATACCGAATGATGCACTGACCGGTTTCCACGGGTGACTATAATTCCGTTCTCAGTAGAAAAAGCATCAGTGGGCAGGCCCTGGATGTTCCAGTCTCTCACCACTGTGGGTTTGGACGTAAAAACTGCAAAACTGAATCCTGGTGTACATGCGATCCCTAAGCCCTTTACCTGAAAAGAGTGTAAGCAGATACAGAAAGAGAGAGAGAAGAAATAAAAAACAAGAAAAATAAAAGAGCACAGTATACATGGGTCATTCAATTTTAAGAGGGCATTTTTTTCTTAGACGTTCACTAGAAGTTTACTGCACAATAGGATTTACTGGGTGTTTTAACAGTGTGTTTGGCTGCCTGACCTCCTTCATCCAGATTTGAAGCAACTCCTCTCTATAGTTGGAAAGGAAGGGGCCCATGTATGAGAGAAAAGAAGCTGCCAGCAAACAGTCTCCCACCAGATACCCCATATTTTCTTCAAGGCCCTGAAAACACACAGATTTGGATTACATAAAGATGAATGTGGGTTTTTATGTTAAGTATTGTTCTTTGCCATATTTTAAGTAGTATTTTAAGTTTAGACAGGTGAGTGGGTATGTGTGTGTGTGTGTGGGGGGGGCGCGTACAACAACTCTCTCCTCCCAGCGGACCCTCTCTCCAGCAAGTCCAGTCACCAGTTTTCCAGCACGGTCCAGTTTCACCTCCATCTCCTCTGATTTCTTTCTCAAACTCTCCTTCATGGCCAGCTTTTCACTGTGCTGCTTTTTCAGCTGCTCCAATTTTTCCCCCAGCTGCTCACAAACACATGCAGATACAGAACGATTATAATAATGGAACGCCATTATGCTCTTTTGCAAACTGAGCTCTCATCAATCAAACGCTTATATCTGTCTGGTGGTTCCATGATGTACTGGTTCTTCATACCGCTCGTAGTTTGTTTTGAGCCTCGGCCAGCGCGGCCTGCTTCTCTGCTAGCTGGGCCATGGCAGCATTCAGCTGGGCACGCTTTGGTTCTACTACCCTGTAGACACGACCGTACACCTGGAAAAACCATATAAACATTCATGGATTTAGTTTTGCCCCAGACTTTTTCTCATCATATGTAACGCAGCTTCTTTTTTGTTACTGTTCTCATATTCTACTTTCTTGGGCATGTGCTTTCTTCTTTTGCTGTAGTGTGCTTAACCTGCACTGTGGATGACAGTGTCTTTTGTTTATCTACAATCCGTTATATATCGCCATGTTTAACTATAACCAACTACCACTTACCATATGCTAGCAGGTCCACGGTGACTATTGTTATTTGTAAGTATGTTTAAAAGTGTGTGTGACCGTGTGTAGCGACCTCTTACCTCCATGGCTCTGACCCACATACAGAGTGACTTGGCAGCCAGCGATACTTTGCCGATGATCTCTGGCTGGAAGTCCACTTGCTTGCAGTACAGGCCAATCTTCTTCAAAACACGGTCTGATATATTATCTTTGTCAAAATGAACCAATGTTTTGATGAAGTTGCCCTCACCTGCCAGAGACACATGACAGTCAGTTAACAATCAATTGCTGAAACAGATGAAACAAAACAGATGAAAAAGACTGAGTACATTTAACCCCTAATATAACATCTACAATCACCCTTTTTCCTCAAAAAAGCTGATTGTAACTGTGGACTGTAATTCTCTGGTTGTGCTGTACTCATTTTCACTACACTACAGTTTTGCCTGTTATTTCTGTTCTTTTGCCAAACTCTCTCTTCAATTAATTTCTGCACTGCTGCTGTCGCTCACCCAGCTGTCTCTTGGCTTCTGCCCAGGTTGGCTCTTTCTCCAGAAGGGTCATAACAGCATGCATCACTGTCTCCACCAGTGCAGGAGGACGGCCGTATGATTTGATCTCTGTCATGTCCTTCTTATTCAGAGACTCCAGAGCCTATGTGCAAAAACATCAATGTGTGGTTGTTAGAAGGCTGAGTCGTGTGAAAATCCAATACAAATAAGACATAAAACACATGCCGAGTGGTACTCGTAGCAAATTACTCACCAAACCAGACAATATAATGAACAAAGTAAGCGCATACATGTTATTCCATGAGAGCAGTCAGCGGGACAAACATACCTTCATGGCTTCTTCCAGGGCAGGCAGGGCCTCGTCCAGGTCTCTCTGTGCATTCTCAGCCATGGCTTTACACTGCAACTCTTCTGCCCCGATTTTCTCATTTTCATCACTCACCGTCTGAATGCAAGCACACATGTGAGTGAATGTGAGTTCAACTGTTATTATTTATTCCGTTTTTTTCAGTAACAATCTACCACATAACATTTCAAAAAAATCAGTTTTCAGTTTTAATTCAAAAGGATCTTTAGGTGACTCGTGGAAGTAACCCACGCAAATATTACTTCAATCTCTGCAGTGAGTTCTGTTCATGTACTGTAGCACATACCTTCTGTTGGCTGTCGGCTTCTTTCTTTTGTTGCACAATGACGGACAAATATTCATCACACTGTTTCTGGAACTCGGCAACTTGCTTTTTGGCCTCCTCGAGCTCTAGAGACATGGCCTCCACTTTCTCCCTCGTTTCACTGATTTTCAGAAGGCCGTTACGCAGCTTGCTCACCTGCTCTCCCAACTCACCGCGTTTCTCCGCCAGCAGTCTGGATCGGCACAAACACATTCGCAAACAGAAGCCCGACAAGCTGATTTTAACAGAGATGCGCATTTAGGGAATGGAACGGGCAAGCAGAGCTATTTAACCACCAAGGAAGCGCAGTAGAGAAGAGTCAGACAGACTGCAACTGTAAATACCCTCAAACTCATAACCTTCAGCAGTGCAGTGTATTTTCATTGCTATCCAAGTGAGCGTAAAACACTTATGAAGCATTTCAATGTGGTAGGAAAAGTGGAGACAAGCAAAGGAGGAATTCAAAGGTAAAAAGCTGCTTACTTCTTGTATCCAGACACCAGCTCCAGGTAGTTTGTTGGTGTCACATAATTTTGTCTCCTCAGCTCCAGTTTCATTCTTTGGGAGACTTGTGCTACTGACTGGTGTGTGGTCACAAAGATACTGGCAACCTTTGTCTGGATCTAAAACGTCACACAGAAACGTAGAAATGTTACCTTGAGACAAATCATGTAATATCTTCTCCCCTCTGTGCTTAAATGCTCAAAGGTAAAAGTGCACATATGTCTCTTTGTGTGTGCATGCCTCACCCCTTCCACTGAGCCCAGCGCCATTCCGTCCAAGTACCTCTCAGCAACCTCCAGGAGGGCATCTTTGGGCCATTCACAGAACCAGTCTATAGTGGTGCAGTTAACAAGAGCTGGGTACTGGAGGATGCGGTTCCTGTAGGCAAACAGCCACTTCTCAACATTGTGCGACTGCTACACTGCACCGCTAATCGCAACAAGGGTTAAAAGGCCTACCACTCATAACAAGCTCTTCTCTTAATGCTTGTCAGTGAAGAGCTGTTTTTATCAACAAAAGAAAATGTGTGTTCATCTGTTTGCTCACTACATGTTTGTGTGTACAGACAGCTGGCCGTCTGTCTCAGCACGAGTCCTTGCTCTAGAATCACTCAAATAACTTGACCTTGTTTATCTTAGATGACTCACTGTTCTAACTGCAACTTTGCAGAGTGGTGTAGGGACTAGTCGCTCTGTAAAAGGCTGCCAGTTGATTTAAATGTATTTATTTACAAATCACCATGACTAAAATGATATCATAGAGGGTTTATTGTGTTCATTTTACTTGGAGTCACAAAGTGGATTTCTCAGTTTGAATACTGTAGCACAGCAAAAAACACTTTCATCCCTTTCTTCCTCCAGTCCCACATTTATTCAGTAGTTTAAAAAAAATCTGGAGAAAAAACCCCCAAAAAGGGGGCAGGAACTTCTTGTCAGTCAGGATACATTACATAAATAGACTCTACCTGAATGGCTCTCCCACTGGACTCAAACAGAGCACAATGTGCAGGTTGTTCCTGACTCGCTCGATCAGGTAGCTGAACAATGAGTCAGGAGTCTCAGCCACATTGTCTTTCCTGGCAGACTCTGAAAGAGCATTGCATACCTACAGGCAAAGAGACAGCGTTACACACTGCATGAGGATATGAGCGTTTTGAATCTACGCTTTGTGAAAACCGATTTCATTTACCCATATGCTACCTGTTGGCTTCGTAGAATGAATGAATATGGTATGGAAATCAAATGATATGCCCTAGAGATAGAAAGACATACTGGCCAGATGAAAGCGATACACACCTCTACAAACTCGTCTGGCTTATATAGGTTAGGCACCTCTCCTGAACTCAGGATGTTATTGATATCCTCTAGGAAGGATTCGTCAACAATCTGGGTGTCATTGAACAGAAAGACTGTGGGCTTGTTGTCCACACCCGCCAAACGGTACAGCTTCTTGATGTCTAGAAGCCACACACACACACACACACAGACACACGCACACTTAAAATCCCTCGCTGTACTAGTAAACATATTCAACTTATGCAATGCTGACATCCACGAATTTCCTAATATTATTAAATTGGCATGTTTGGTTTTAGCTTTTTGCAGTTTCTCAAAAGTCTGTGAATGTAACGGTTGTGTTGACCTCACCCTCTCTAAACTCCAGTTTGCGGTACTGCTTGGTGACTTCCACTTGGAATACCTGGTACTGACATATGAAGGCAGCTATCTTAGACAGGCTTCGCCGACCTGAGCCCCCGACACCTACCACCAGCATGTTGCCCCTGAGCTGACTGATCACTCGAATGATCCGAGTAACTGCAAAGGGAGCAGAAAGATATAACACATCAGCTTCACCGTGCCCGGAAATCCCAGGAGGAAATACAATATACAAACTAAAATTAGTGTGAGTTAGACAATAGTGCACTGCTACTGACCTAAATACCATGCCACAAAATAGCATGCTGACAGTATTGAGCGTGCTGATAGGTCCTTAGTCTCTCAGCTTTTAGTTTTGCTCTTTTTCTCTGTTTTTCAAAGCAGTTTCAAGATAGATCTGATTGTTAAAAGTGAGAAACTTTTAACAGTACAATGACTTGTGGGTGGAACTGACACTGTGGGTTGATGCATCAGGTGTATTGCCCTGTTTTAAACATGCATGCAAATGTGCGTGGCTGTGTGTGTTGCGTTTCAGATGTACTGTGTTCGATGGCATCTCTGAAGAGCACCAGGTTTGTAGGCACCACGCCAGGTGTCAGGTTGTAGTCCTCTTGCTGTGTTTCCATGAACTTCTTGAGACTCTTCATGTCATGCAGGTCCTCATAGACAGACGACTCACTCATGAAATCACCTACCCCACAGGACAACAATAAACACATTTAAACAGTTTCACATATTCTGGGCTGGTAATGGACTTAGAAATTAGCCATCAACCCATGAACTCATCTGTGGGAGTATTTTTACACATATTGGAGAAACAATGTTTATGCACAGAATGCAAATAATTAAGTACCAAATATTGGCAGTTGCTTGTTCGGGCAGATGCTGTGGAAGGTGAAGTCAAAGAGTGAACCCAGTTTTTCCTCTAGGAGAGAAATAAAGGTATCCATATCACTGTGGTTTACAAGCCGATCTGAGAAAACCCTGAAATTGACAAATCACATCATCCAGATATTATTCTCTGTATACATGACAAAAGTACCCGTGCATTTTAATTTATAAAGCACTGCAGAAAGGCATTCAAATACTGTGATCACCTGAAACATTCATGGATCCACAGTCTAGTAATGTTGGTTTTGGTATCATGGAAGTCTGGATGAGCTCTTAGTAAACCTTGAAACACCTACAAGAGATAAACAGGGGGGGAAGATATATCACAGAGCATTTTAATTTCAAAGGTACTAAATAATTCAGAGTTTTCATTAAAATCTGAATGAACTCATGAAGACTGTCACCTAAAAGTGATTTTAGGCAAGAAAATGTGTAACCAAGTAGATATGTGTTATTCTTACCAAGGTGAAGTTTAGTTAGTAAGTGTTTTATGAAAATGCATTTTAAGCAGTCTTTGGTTGTACTATTTATGTGCCGTACAACAGAAGTTCATACTGATGTACACAAATGTACCTTGGAGATGTCCCTGAGGTTGAAGAGGTAATGTATCTTGGCTGGAGTGGGAAGAAAAAAGGCAGTGACGCCATTATACAGCTCTAAGGTTGCCTGAGTGAGAAGCTTTCCAATGGGCTTCAGCTCCTCCTTAAACTCCTGGAGCTTTTGGTTGATCATGGCACTGTAGATGCACTTGATCTGGGAGGCCTGCATGCAGAGAGGAAAGGCAACAATATTCCCAAAACACAACATGCAGACATGTCAGTAGCATACCAGGATAATGCAGGTGTAGTGGTTACAACAGCAAGATAATTTCTTAAAATCTAATTTCATGCTGCCCAATTCACACATAAACCAGGCAAAGCAGCTAAAATTTCAAGTGTTTAGATCCTGAATGCAGCATGGCTCCAGCAATTTTTAAAGCAAATTTAATTTAGCTCTTCTAAGGCAACAGAAAACAGGGTTGAGATTGGAGTCAGATAACTGATGCTAGCTGATAAATGAAAATACTAAAAAGAGACGGTGATTAGAAGGGAGCGAAGAAGGGAGTGAACAATAAAACAGGGAAATTATAAACATGCCCAAAACTACAAAATAAGAATAACAAACACATAAGGGAACAAAGAGGGAGGGGGAGATGGTAGGAGGTAAATTAGCAGGGCAGCGCACAGGCAGGCTAGAACACAATTGTAAACTTGAGGGTGTTAGAAATGTGAAAGAGAACGTAATTTTACAGCATTTGTCATCGTGGCTATAATTACAATCAGGGTCATTCCTGTAGGGTGCCATGAAAAAAGCACTAACAAACAGAAAACACCAACAGGAGCAAAACCACAGTCAACACTGAAGAAATGCAAAAATGTGCCTGTGTAAATGAAGAAGGCATTACACAGAGAAAGTAAAACATAACTGCCTGCTAAAATATCACGCTGCTTAATTATAGGAAGAAAAGACAGGAAGACATAAAGAGAGCAACACTTACATTAGGGAAAGTCATATTAATGAGGTTGAATCGACTCTGAAAACGCGGCGTGATGCGAGTCCTCCCACCACCAGGGGGCCCCATTGATGCTAGCAAGAACATGTCCTGAAACACAACAGAAAAAGTGTAGCGTCCTCTGCATATAAAACAGAAAACATTTCACATTGTCACACAGTTTAAACCAAGGCCCTTAGAAAGCAGCAAACCTATCTCTCCAATTATAACACGCCTCACTCATGCCTTCATTAAAACTCAGTTTCTCACCTTGACAACCTTTAGGGTCTGTTTCTTGCGATCATACCAGAAGCCATAGTCAATCCATAGGCGCAGAAGCTCCAGGGGTGGCTGGGAGCCAAAGAGGTCATGAGCCGGCATGTTGAGGTCATCTAGGAAACATAGCAGGTGTTTCCCACCTGCTGGCACATACACGCCTTTGGTTCTCTTTTCTATGCGACTCTCTATAATGTCCTGGATGTTGTTAGAGGTGGTCTGGACAGCAAACGAAAGATGAAACGACGTGAATAATCATAAATCTTTAAAATATTTCTTCAAAGCATCTACCAGCTTATAACTGTAACCAGAACAAGTAGGCACTAATTAGGCCTAATTAAAGCACAGAGATAAACATCAGCACACACATGGCATACACAGCTAAACACAGACTATACAATGAACTGACCTGTGAAGACATGTTGATGGTAAGGGTTTTCCATTTGTTATCTAAGCCCTGCAGAATACTCTGAGCCACTGAAGTTTTACCAGTGCCCACTGGCCCAGTGAGCAGCACAGGGTAGTGTTTCAACACCAGAGCCTTAACCAGTAAGTTATAGCGAACGGTGTCCACAGTTGGAACCATAATCTTATAGAATGGAGCTCTGAGGGAAAAGACAGGGACATACATAAACATGTCATAGATCCAGATCTCATAATAACATCTGATTACTTACGAAGCATTGTAGCGCCAGCCTTTTGGCAATTTATCTTCAAATGAAGCCCAGCATTTGTTCTTTGGGTCCACGTAGTAGTCATAAACTGTGTCCTGCAAGAATTCATATACCTTAACACTTGACACAGGCTTGCAGGCGTGCAACCATCTACTCAACAAATTCATAGGATTGAAAGGTTTGAGTGATAATTGGGGAACAAACAGGTTACTGTGTTGGTCTACTTGTTAAAATTTTGTAAAAAAATAGTCTATTTACAATTACAAAATAAGTACACTTGACACTGGTTAATTCCCTACCTTTATTGGGGAATGTAATGAGGTTATAGAATAGAAGTTAACTCATTTCATATGCCATTAGTGTGTAAACAAAAATGTTCTCTGGAAGACCTTGGCAGGGAATGTTCCCTCCATCTCCCGTAGGAAGTTGTCCATCCTCTTGCGTCCATCCTCGTCGACAGAGGCACATATGGACCAGATAAGGCTGAAGATGAACCACAGTTCCACCATCCTACCCAGGCTATCTGTGTCTGAAGGATTCACCTGAAGATAGAGCAAAGGAAAAATGCATTTAGTTACACCTATTAGAGATCGACAATTCATCACTGTTGTGGTGCAATTACCCATGGATGGGATTACAATCTACATTTGCACTCTGCTTATTATACCCCACTGCTCGATGTAGCCAGGGAGTCATAGAGGCGGCAGAGAGAGGTGACGCCATTAAGTTCGGCGATGGGGATCAGCTCCTTGCAGTTGCTCTTCTTATAGTTGATCGTGCTCTCTATGTACTTCTCGAACAAGGGCTTCAAATGGTTCACTTCAGCCTGTGAAGTGACATAGAGTGACACATGGAAGTAAAGAGAACGGTGCCAGAAAAAAGAAAACATTACTAATCATACTCGTTAACTATACATACTCTTAACTGAAATGCATGTCCTAATGAGAGTTATTATGAGTGACTGTATTGTACTTTGTGTCGCTTGTTCAGCCAGGACTGCACAAAGGGTTTCCATCCCAGATCCGTATAATCATTGTAGACCATACCACAGCGGGACACCGTAGCTGGAGAAGCCACTGCTAGATTCTCCACCTCAAATAGAAGAGACACCTGCAACAAATGAATTGTAGTTTTTATACATATTCACTAAAGCTGCATAAATACAGGAAGCAACTGGCAGCAATGTGGCAACCAGTAATTAGTCCACAGTAATTGAATGAGATCTGCGACTCAGCAGGTTAAATAACTGCTGGCAACAGGAAGAAAACATGACCTGAGATAAACTTTTCCCAACTTCCAGTCAACCGACTAAATTGACTACCACTGAGAGTGACAATCGCTGTTTGACATATAACCCAGCAGTAAACACACCTAGGGTCACCTAGGCAACCGAAGCTTGAAATGTTTGCAAGCAGCCAGCTGTCAGCTTCAAAGCTATGTGGACAAGTGAATCTCTTCCAGCGTGTGCACAGCTTTATTGTCAGCATGTGTGATTCAGCTCCCTCCCTCAGTTAATCAAATAAAGCACAGACGATTCTGGGTGATGATAAGCTGAAATTTTCTTCCATTTCATATGTGAGCCGGATAACAAGGATTAAGCCACTTGAATGCTGCTTCTTTGTCTTATAAAACTAATCTTATCATGTGTTTGAGCTTTTGTTTTTCTGGATTTACTGAACAGAATCTAAAACAGTCTGGCTGAACAAAACTATTTCAGCCGCTGCATTCTTGCTGCTTTCCTTGCAGAAACTGATTCAAAACTTGGCCTTCTCACCAGCACACTGGAGCACTTGAAGAGGACGGCGCGACCATAAATGATATTAGAAAAAGTCAAAGGTCAAATAATGAAAAGTGCTGTTTCATGATCTGTTCTCACCTGCTCAGGCATAGAGATTCTCTCTCCGTTGATGAGCGTGAGCACTTTGTTGTCATCCATTACTGAGTTCATACTCTCAATCCAAAGTGTGTCAACTGGCCCGTCAAACACAATCCACTTCTCATCTGGTTTCTCATCTTAAGTGAGGAAAGAAGATATTGTGACAGAGACGTGTGTAATAGCAACATTCACACTCACAACAAGAAGACAGTAAGAAGTTGATGTATTGTTTAATAGTTCATAAAAATAAAAGCACTGCCTTTCAATCTTTAGATCTCTCCTTTGTAAACTGGCTTCACAAGAAACTCTAAAATCAATACTATGTAATATACATTTTGAAACCATTGTGTCATGGTCCCTGTGCCTCACCAGCGGATCCCGTCTTAGGCAACATGTGTTTTTGTTGTTTTTGCTCTCTCTCTCCCTTGCCGCGGCGGTGCTCATTATGGGCTCCCGCCCCTGGCCCACGCATCTGCCATCTCCACACCTGCTGCCTATCTGCGTAATTGCGAGTCCTACTTAAGATGACAGCACTGTGCTACTTGTCGCTGGATCGTCGAGCTATCAGCATCAGTCGCTCAGTAGTTTGAGAATCAGAATCTGTGAGTTCTTTCTGTCTGTTCGCCTCTAACTAAAGTTTCATATCTTTCCCAGACCTTTCCCTGCCTGCCTGTCATCCCATGGACGAGTGTGTGGGTTTGTGTAACCCAGTTGTGGAGAGAGGAGAGTGATTCTTTGGAGCGCGTCTGATCCCCTTCCTTTCCCTCACGTACCCTGGAGCCCTGGACCCCCCTTCCAGCACGTTGTATATAGTATCACCTGGTGTTGTCTGTATCAACAAACTGTCTTATCTACAAGGATTTCTGGTCTGCGCCTGAGTCCGTTAGCTAAACGTGACACATTGTCATGAACAAGATCGATTAATTATTTCTCTAACAGCTCCAAAAAAAGGAATCATCCTTCTTTAGTGCTGGATCTCATTTTAAATTTTGACTATTGTAACAAGTGAAGCCAATAAATGTTTGTAAATGAGCTCACCCTATGTAAGATTATGCAGATAAAGCTGCACAGCATGCTGTAGCTTCTCAGTACTCAGTGAAGCTCCAAAGTGGAACAAAGAACTTATTTTGTTTTCATCATGACTTTAAAAAAAACTGAGCATATAAAAAACTTCCCTGTGACATTTCAGTCAGTGTAGAAGGTAGAACAGGCTATGGGGAAGAATCATCCATACAGTGTGTTTTTCTGGGGTTCGCACCTGCGCACGCTGATCTCATGAGGGATGACAGCACTCCATCAGTCCACTCGTTAGTAGAGAGATCATTCTCGCCATACAGCTCTCCTAAACTGAGGGCTTTGGGATTCAGAGGATAGTCCTGTCAAATGAGACATGAACGGTAAAAATGGAGTCATCTGCTTTGTTTTAAAATCATGGAGAGTAGCTTGTAAAGAAATGCAAGGCTTTAGTTAGATGAATTTGGCCAAACCAATGTTCATCAGTTGCATAAATATATTTTTGTTTTTACATTTTTACTATTGGATTTTCACTCTGTGTACAGACACCAACAGAAAAAGGCTCATACGTCAGAAGGTTTGTGAAGAGTAGCCAATCTCTAATCATTCAGTGCTTGGATATATTGGATTTGACATGGTTATTGTCTGATATATGACAATATGAAAACTTTTTTTTACAGAACAGAAAAGAAAAAAAGTCTGAGCTCATTTTAAAATTGTTCTTTCTTCAGCAGATCAAATTCCTGCTACATTGTTTGCAGAACATGTAGCAGAGTTTGCCAGATGAGGATCTCATGTATCATTTATAGGCTGTAAAAAACCCTAGATAAGTGAATGTAGTTAAATACAGATCAGTCATAAGATGAAATACACACTGATGTAAATGAGGCAACAGCGTTCTAATTTTGTTTATGTTTTGCTCTGTACTCTTTACTTTTTTTGTTGGTAACTTTATGGAACATTTGAATCTGGGAAATATTGAACCATTTAGATATTGATATGACACTTTGTCAGCTCTCGAGCATAACAAAAGTTTTAGTAAGAATTGGATTTCAGCCACATTATGATAAATATTAAAAAAGTGCCGGTGGTGGTGGAAAGTGAGTCTCCATGATCTGAGGTGTAGTTGTTCTCTATTACAGAGGGAGTTCATACTGTGAGTTTTCCTCTCAGTGATGGGCTTGGAGGAGCTAAAGGTCACACACTTAGAGACGTATGTGACTTCCAATTACTTCACTGAGAAGAGCTCTGCTGAAATGATGCTTCAGTGTCTAATGTGGAAGAAGTGGGAGGGTTCAGTCTGTCTGGGACAAAAACCTACAATGGACACAAGCTTTGACCTCATTTAATCAAACTGAAGCAAGCAGCCAGTTTCAGTCCCTTTAATTCATGTTTGCCTGTTTAGATCTAATCACTGCGATGCTCACTGCCTGTTCTGTAACTGCATGAAAAAAGAAAAAAAGAATCCTGTGACAGTAGTTGAAGAATTTTACCATTAAGAATACAAACTTCAAAGTCCGGCAACAAAACATTCTTTTTGATTAAAAAAGCAAGCAGTATTACAATTTAAAAAAAAGAAAAAAGAAATGCTTTCTTCCCTATCCTAACTAACCTGGACCTGCTGAAAGCCTGGCTCTCCTTTTTGATGCAGAGCAGTCATGGCATTCTGTAGGGTCCTCCAGGTAACACTCTTAGCACTGCCTGTCTTGCCCACCAGCATGGAGGAGTGTCGAGAGTTTTTGGTCTCATAAAGTTGGATGACTTTGGTCACGGTAAAGGGTGTCACCTGCAAACCACTCCGATTAAGCTCCTCCTCCACAGCTTCCTTCAACTGTGAAAATAAAGAGACCAAAGATAGACAAGGAGTCAGTGATCAGTGATGCACTAAGTGAGACTGCACATATCAGAAAAAAGTGATACATTATGAAAGATCATAGGGTCATATTTTTTAAACTTATTTCTGACATCTTATTGCACAAGAACACTGACCAAAAGAGATATTATATTATTTGTTTGGCTTTGTGCACACAGGGACACAAAGACAGTCCTGCAATGTTTCCATTTTTTGCCAGTTGTATATCAAATCCGTGCTTATCTTGACTGCTGATTTAGATTAACTTACTTTGCCATAGTCTATTACAGGTGTTTCTACGGCAGGGAACAAGTCTTGAATGATTCCACTGAACAATGGCAGGTCAGCAGAGGTCAGCTTAGCAATGTTCATATCCTTCATAGCCATCAGCAGCACCTAAGAATACAGATACAGGAAGAGACTTACTCATGATTTCCCAATGGTCAGCTTATTTTTTTTAGATCTTTATTCACTGCTGCTGGCTCTGTTTTTACTGATCTGAGATCAGTTATGAACTGCACTTTGTGTAGAAACACAGTTAGCATTAGCAAGTAAGTTAGCACTCTCAATTGTGGTTGTGACAGATGAGTTTTCTCTTCGTAAACATCTCGTGTGCTGTAAGAAACTTTTAATAACTCGTTTAACACATTAAGAATGAAACCTTTAATGATGGAGAGGGGGACTTCTGCCATTTATGCCGTGGATAAATGGACACGATGAGGTTCACCAACACTCAGATTAACATATCTGAAAAATCACTTAGTTGACCAAATGGATAAAGTTTAAACAGGTGTTTTGCTAATATACCACCTTCAGTTTTTATTAATATTTCATCCTCCTGTAGATACATACAGTTAACTATGCCACATGATATGATGCTCAAGGCTTTTAATTCAGCTGTGACTGTTTTTTAATGATGCACTACTGCAGAGTAAACAGAATATCAAGTGTTTAAAACAAGCTCAACCTTAAACATCTGCACCAGTAATACTGATCAATAACAACACTTATGGGGAACGTTTTTCTCAAGAATAAATATTTTTATTTTTGATACTTTATGTAGAATTTTACGGGGGTCTTTGTTCGCCTTCCTTTAAAACTCACTGCACGCCACTGATTTCCAGTCACAGCAAACACACACACCGCGTTCCAAATTATTATGCAAATTGTGTTTAAGTGTCACAAAGATTAAATAAGTTGTTTTTCAATTAAGCCCATGGATGGAATTGTGTCAGGACTCTTTGTATCACTGAAAACAATCTCGGACACCTATGATCATTAGTTTGCCAGGTGAGCCC